TACAAAAAGCGTGTCCATGCTCAGCTCGCTGCAATCGAGGCTGAGGAACAACGCCAGCTGGCAGTCAAGGCTGCCCAGCTACAGGCTGATGAAGCCGCAACAGCAGAGAAGCTGCGGCTACAGGCCGAAGCAGACGCAGATGCCCAAGCTCGCCGCAAGGAAGCCCAGGCTCTGCTGCAGCGGCATGAAGCCAGCAGCATCGAGAAACTCAAGTACTGGCATTTTGAACCAAACGGCGACGAGGCAACACCGGAAGAGCATCATAAGGAGTTCATGGCCAAGCTCGTGAGCAGGTTGGCTTACACATGTAACCACCTACAGTCCGAGCTGGCAAACCTTCAGCGGGCCGTGCGGAATCAGAAGACTCAGCACGAGGATGCCACACGGGCACTGGACGCCCGTGTACTGGACCTCGAACAGGCTGTACCAGGATCAACTGCTGGGGCTTCCAGCAGTGCATCCTCTAGCCGCCAACTGGAGGAACGCGCTGACCATGTAGTGGCAATGCTAGGAGACATAAGTGTCTTCACAGAGCCGGCCACCATCAGCCAGCGGTTCGAGTTGTTGGACTCCAAGATCAGTCAGCAACAGCAGAAAGACCACATCCACAACAACAGCTTGGCGAGGCCATACAAGATGCCGACGTTCCGGATCGAGAAATTTGATAACTACACACATCAAGACCCGGTCGTCTGGTGGCAAGGATTTACAACAGAGTTGGGGATTCACGAAGTCCCTGACCATCTGTTCATCAGTGCTCTGTTCATCAACGCCAAGGGAGGTTGTCAGATCTGGCTCAGCCACATGGCAACCATCCACGGCGTCCAGGTTTCAGACCTGTACAAGAAGGTCTCCCGGGAGGACATGACAAAGGAATGGAAGAAGCGGTTCATCGTCGACGACGCCCCGACACTCGCCGTCAACCGCATCTTCACGATGGCTCAAGGGAGCACACCAACACGTGACTGGCTCACAGATTGGCAGAAAATCGTGGCGACGCCCGATTTGGACTTGTCATTTCTGCATCTGCGGCGTGAGTTCTACAACAAGTCATGCGCCGCTCTCAGCCTCACACTGGGTGATCGTGAGCAGTACAGCATTTTCGCAGAGATCATCAACAAGGCGAGAGAGCTCATCAAGACTAACAAGCCGGCTGCACACGAGAAGTCCACGTGGCAGCCAACCTATGTGGAGAAGGTACGAACTGGTCCGCGACAGCAGCAGTTCACTGCAGTCCAGTCGGACAGTGGAGATAACCCAGCAGCCACTCCAGCATCAAGTGACGGAGACCAGGTGGCTGCTGTCCAGTCGTGAAGCAACAACAAGTCCCTCAACAATGGGAAGGCGAAATCCGCATCGCAGGCCGGAAATGGACAGCCAGGACAGTTTCCATGGGTCAAGTTTGGCTTGACCGAGGCGGAGTACAAAGTCTGTGGCCGCTACGACAGCTACTATTGGTGCAACAGCACCAAGCACAAGACCTCCCTGTGCCAAGATCAGGGCAAGGAGGATCTGCGACCCCGCCTCAGCTCACGAAACTTAGCTCCGCGGAAGGTGAGGCGACTCCACCTTCTACTCCGCCAGATTCGGCCGCCTTGCTAGCGGCCTCCTGCACATCTGGGGAGGATCCGAATGTCGCAAGTCCTCGGTATACTTACGAGGATTATGTTGTCCACTTGGTTCCACCGTTGGACCAACCGCTCCACGTGCAACAGTTCACCGCATGCACGGTTTCATCACCATCGGCAACGGATTCGACAGCTTCGCCGCAATCTATCGTCGGGGATTCGACGTCATGGTCAAGACTTGATGAGCTCGACCCGTTCACGTTCACGGACTTCCAGTGGATGCCCGTTCCCTCGACCGGACGATTGTCGAAACCGCATTGCAATGTGCTCATGGCACAATTGCGGGACTACTTGCACACTGCAGTACCAGCTCCGTTGATGGACGCCGGAGCAGAGGTTGTCGACCTTCTCGCGTACATCGCGAAGATCGACCGCCAGTTCAAGACTCAACGGTACGACAACATCGACGCACCATTGCTAAACATACGCATTCAGATCGGAGAGGCGACCTGCAGTGCCTTGATCGATTGCGGAGCATCTCGCAACTACATCAGCCAGGACTTCATGGTACGCGCCGGCCTTGGCCCACGTGTCCGGAGGAAGTCCCAGCCTACGCAAGTCACTCTGGCAGACGGTCATACGCACAACTCCATTGACCGGTGCATTGACGCCGTCCCAGTGTACTTTGCCCCTCACGCAAGTGAGGCGGTGTCCTTCGACATTCTGGACACCAAATTCGACATGATCTTGGGCATGCTATGAATCCCCCTCGGCGGCGGACAGGCGCGGCCAAGTCCGCGGCCGCGGCCGAGTCCGCGACCCCGCGGATGCGTCCGCGCGTCTTCACGGAAGCGTGGCGGTCGCTGGGGAAGGGGGTTTGGGAAACGGGAAGCGCCAGGTGGCGACGCAACCCCACCCCCACCCCATCAGGCAAAAAAAAACGAAAAAAATCTAATTTTTGGTTGGGGGGGTAAGGGCGAAATCGAAGAAAA